GAATAACCATTTCTTCACAAGTTACGTATGCTATGTAGTAAGATTTTGTAAAGATTGTTGTTGTTGTTGTTGTTGTTGTTTTTCTTCACATTAAACTCGTGTCAGTTGCTAATCCCAAAAATCTAGCAAAGACTCGAAGATTACGGTCAGAGGATACGGGTAGTAGTCTCTGACTCTCCGTGTCGTCGTGGCTGTTCTTCAAGTTAATAACCAACTCTTCCAGGGAATTCGTGGTTTTATGCGTGGCGGAAACCTCATATGTTATGCTTTATGTGTATGTCGAAGGGAATGGTGCGGCATCTGCACCACAATAGGGTCGCCGCTCTATTCTTTTGAATATACACTTGTCTTATTTGGAACTTACATTCCCATATCGACGTCGATCTTGTTGAAGCGAAACGAAATAGAATATACAATGGCAAAGAGGCAGCCGCTTGTGTGCGAGAGGCGCGCCGCTTCCACATGACATCATCGCTGCCTTCCGCGACAGCTGTCTGTTGCCCATTATCAATGGAGTTTATCTATTAAAGCATAATTCTGGGGGGAACCGCCGTGTCTCGCACTAAACTGGCGATGGTTGTTGTGTCCCTTGCATCGTGCGGCGCAGGCGGTTGCCGAGAAGACAGGGACGGTCGATGAGTTCATGGCGGAGCTAAAGGACCACCGCACGTCTTTCGGCAAACACCGGCGGAGTTACAAAACACAGCGGGCAGCATTTACGGAGAAGAAGCTCACCATCGAAGAAGGAGAAGTTCTGTGCATCGTAGACTTCCAGGAACGACTACAGGTCGGAGAGCAAGACGAAGTTCAGTCACAGCACTGGGACCGTGAGGCTACCACGATCTTTCCGTGCCCGATTTTCTTCAAGGTTGATGGACGTGTCTGGGCATACTCCTTCCAGATCCTCAGCGACGACATGGCTCAAGATAACGCCTGGGTGCAGTTCGTCATGTCGAAGTTACTGAACGAAGATATCCCTGCCTTACTGCGGAAGATTGGAGCGAAACCCATGACCCGCTGTACCATCTGGACCGATAACTGCGCCAAGCAGTTCAAGTGCAGGTTCCACTTCGGCTGGGTAGCCGACGCCCAGATAATGGGGCTCGACAAGGATGGCGAGCCCACCGGAATCAGGGTGCACATGGAACATCACTACTTTGGAGCATGCCACGGCAAAAACGTATCGGACGCGGAGGGAGGAATGACGAAGGAGTACGTGCGGCGGATGATACTCAACATGATGTGGCGAGTGGCCAGCTCGAGAGACTTGTGCGAGAAACTGGAGAAGGCGCTAAACTTCTTTCTTCGGTTCGCCAATGGCGAGGAGACCGAGGCATTCTGGAAAGACCGCAACGGGAGGGAAGGAGGAACGGAGCAGCTGCTCGTCACAAAGGTGACTAATAGTCTAGACCAAGATTTTTGCCGTTATGGCCTCGGTGTTATTCATGTGAGTAAGCAGAGATTGTTTTCGTGGCCTCGGGGCTCGTCAACTGTTTTTGCGTCGGGTCTTCGCCAGTTTAGACCTCATCAACTTAGAGACAACCCAGAGTACTTGTAAGTAGATGACATGTTCACGTATAAATTTATCAACAATCGCCCCCACTGCATACATGTATTCGACACGACCACATGGAGAATGTCGATCGTTTGTGTCGTCGGTGTACATCTCTATACTTGTATATACAGCAGTCGTGGTGTTGCTCGTCGTGTGAGTAATGCCATCGCGGTCTTACTGATGTGAGTAACCCAGTACACAACCTACCCTACGACCGTCCTCCGGAGTTATTGGTTCGTTATCATTACTCAGCTACATGTTTACGTGCACCGCCCCCCGCTTGCGTGCTCCCGGTGCCGTTGATAGACGTGGATCGGCGAGGATTCAGACCAAACGCAGGAGACGACCTTCCTATTGACCAAGAACCCCAACACGATGATGGGGCGACGCTACATCTTCATCGGTGCCTCGGATGTGTCATCTGACGTACGGAAAGCCGCCCGCTCGTCAGCAAAGGAAATCGAGGTTTCCGGATGTCAGACTATCAGCATGACTGCGGCCACCGATACGCCTGGCGTTCTCATGACCAACCAGTTTTCTTGCTAGTGAGTGCATCACGAGTTCATATCCAATATGTCATAAGATTGTCTACGTTGTTTGTTCACATTTTGGTATGGATCGGTGGATAGGTTTTGGTTGACAACACACATGCAAGTACTAAATCTTACCCAATCGTTCCTCTCCCGTGTATCATAATCTCCATATTTTCTTTCAGCTGTGCGGTGTGCCGTGACAGTAAGCCGGAAAACTGCCCGCTCATTCGAAAGGGCATCATGTCGGGCCCACAAGAGTTTTCCCGCCGAGCAAACCGAAACACGGACATTGTCAGCGCGAAGGAGGACGACCTGGAAGAACTGTCTGGATGGATGCCCAGCCAGCTGCCATTCGGATCCATTGCTTTGCTACGTGTCGACCCTTCGGAGCACGATGGCCAAGATATCGTGCCAGTTGTCGTAGCTCGCAAGGCTGCATGTCCTTGGACGCCGAGAGTAGCAGTAGACGGCATGTTCGGTCATGGGGACACTATCGTGTGGGTTGTAGACCTGCCTCAGGCGATTGTGCGAGGTAAACAAGTGGAATATTTGGTTCCGAGGAGTATTTCAGGGGTCAAGTTTCGGGCGGTTCCTCTCGCGTGCATTGCTGGATTAGGCCAAGGGGTCCTTGGGTATATGGAGCACCCGCAGTGTTCCCAGAGTTCCTTGTCCAGTGAAACGTTTGTGTTGCGGGAAGGCGTCGTTGAGAATGCGCGGTCTACAGTTGTCCTTCTTTCAAGGAACCCTCTTGCGGCGTTTGAGTCCTTCCAGCCCGTGCCGCTGTCGGTCGAAGACGAAACCCGGGCCCCCGTTGAGCCCAGAATGTTTGTAAATGGTACAGTTATTGAGCAGTTGTTCAAGGGCCCGCGAAATAGTAACGGTAGACCGATTTGGAAGCACGGAAAGAAGCTTCGTGCAATCGTCATTGCATGCCAAACAGATATAAAGTCACGTCGCCATCAGTACAAACTGCAGTGGTCGGGAGAACTCATGATCCTGGTTTTGGCTGAGGTGGAGGAATTTGTGGATGAAGGGCACGTCGAACAGTATCGTACCGGGGACGTCGAGGTAGTTCCAACTACTGCTGTGTAGACTTTACATTTGGGGTGCTTACCTTCTATTTTGCTTTGAGGAACTTATTCAGCCGAATTGGGCGGTTGGCAGTGGTGTGAGCGAATGGGAGCGAGGATGTTCGGGACACACATGGTGTGAAGCTATAGATTGATCTGGGACATCCCTACTCCAATTTTGACTCGAAAGGGCAAAATTTGCCAGCCATTACACGCTTTAGACATCTACGTCGTGCACCTGTGACGACTGATAATGTCGCAGCCACTGAACTCAGAAGGGATTCGTGCCAAAACGTGAACCCCTACCGTTGCATGACTCTCTCGCTCGTGTTTTCAAGGTCGGTGGCGAGAGACGGATCGTGAAGTCGGGCAGTGGGGTCACGCAACGCGAGAATTTCACGAAGCGCTGGTGCAAATGAGGCAAAGAAGTGCTGCACAGGCTCAGCCAAAGGTAGGTGCATGGCGTTGTTGAAGACCTGATTGAAGATATGCTTGCTCGTACGTGCTGCGTGTTGGCTTTTGCTCGAGTGCTGAGAGGGTGGCAACCAGAGAGTATATCTAACCGATCGTCATCTATCTCGCGTTCACTGTTGTTCTAGTGACTTTAGTTTGCTCTCCTTGGGAAATATTGACGCCACTACTTTGCAAAAGTTTCCTCCCTTCCGAGAGTCATGAATGTCGTATGTTTGAGATGAGGGGTGGGTTCTCTCACAACATTCCTCGGTATTATCAACATGGAATGACTAAGACAAAATGATGCTGCTAGAGTCTAAGGCTGACTGTGTAAGCAGCGCTTATATATAGTCTCAAGCTAGCTAGCTGTGGTAGCAAGGATACTGTAGATGCGTCGAACGTGGCCGCCAGAGAGTGAATGAACTTGCCGATACAGCAATATCACCACCCCGACAAGCTCTGATGTACCCGTCTGCACCCCTCACAAACCGTGACAGGGCAGGACACCGTTGCCTCACCACTGCCGTTCACGCCCCGTTTCGAGCGCGGGAGGGAGCAAAAGCCGGCCGGAACTCGACTCAAAGCAGAGTATTCAGGCCGCCCCCACCGTGCGGCAGCGACGTGTCGGAGCCGACGGCGTTCCGGCGGGGGAAGACCAAGGCCAAGGCCAAGCCAAACGAGACGCCGCAAACGCACGAACACGGCCCCGGCGGGTTTCCGAGGTGGAGGCTTTCATGTCCCGTCTAGAGGGAGAACGCGGCCCGCAGAATCGACGCGAGAGCATCGCGGCGTACCAGAAAATGCTCATGGGATGCACGACTAACAACTCGGCCATACTCGGAGACAACGCCTCCACGAGCGCGGGGGGCGGCAAGGGGAGTAATGGCGCCGAGAGGGTAAACGAGAGAGATGGGAAAAGGGGAGCTGAGCTGCGCAAGGTGCTCGCCCGGAGAGAGGTGGCGCACAGCGCTGTTTCCTGGCTGATGGGCACGGCTGAGGGGTCCTACATGCTCAGCCGAGGAAGGGATTCGTCGAAGATAAGCCTCGGCAGCACTCGGCCCACCAAGACCCTGCCTGTCGGGGTGGTGCGGGTGGCTGCCACGTAGTATGTAGGCGTTAGGACAGCTTTCGCGAAAGGGCTGACTTGCTTTCGTTCGTGTTATTCTGGACTGACGTCAGTGTCGACAATCACGTGCCAGAAAAATCAAGCCAAGTCTGCAGGCAAGGGGAGCTAACCGCCTTCTAGAAGCAGCATCATGCGCTCGCCATTTTGAAGTTCACCCATTGGGTGTGGAACTGCGGACACCTGCTTCATGTCCGTTTTGGGAATGTGGTCGGAGGTGCTTGCGCCACAGCAACACATCTATCTGCCAATGCAACGCGATGCTGAATAGTTGAATCCTGGTTGTATTCGTACGAATGCTGACGTCGACCCTTCTCTATGGCTATCTCCGACGATTCCGAGGCAGGTCTAAATAGTGAAACAACACTTCGATAGCAGGTGAGTGCAAAGGTCTTAGCGGTGGCTCGCTCAATACCTGAAATGAAATCGGGAACAAAGTGCCCTCTCGCCAAAACCAAGCCCACCTCATTGCCCGGACGGCTTCAGGAAAGAGACGCGAGAGACAGAAAAACAACCATCACGACCAACAGACAGAGGCAACAATTCTCCCAAGCTCCTGCCTGCAATCGTTCGAGGGCTACAGCACGCCAGACACCACACCTCAGCTCTCAGGGCACCCAGCTCCCACGATTCCGCCTCGAAAATCTGACCAACCAGAGCCTGTGCGTGAGGACACGTACGATAATAACGATCGTCGAACGCAAACAAACTTCGCAAAAATTCCACCCTGGCGAAACGACCCCCTCATTTCTTGGTGGCAGCTTCTCGTGCTCCCGTTTCCATTCCAAGCACCGCCCTAACTCCTGGGTCTACCTTGACCAACGTCTGAGCGTACCGTCGCAACGGCTCCTTCAACCCCTGCACAAAACAACGACGACGCACGCAAACAGACGAGGGAGGGGGGGGGGGGGAGGTAAGGGATGGAGCATGAGGCAAAGCTGGACCTTCCGTGCAATATCTTTGCGGGAAGACAAGCGCGCCGGTCGGATGTCTTGGGACACTGCGGTAGAGAAACGTTAGCGTTTGAGAATAAGACCAAAGTACTGTTGTACTACTAGATTACTGCCAACAAGCAAGTATCCGACAACGAAGAAAGAACAGCAGCCGCAAAGGGCGTGCGAGCCCCGCACGTCGTCTCATTGCTGACAACAAGGCCGCACCGCGCGGTTTCTCCCCGAAATAAAATGCAACACCCCCGTGTGTATGTAGCAGCCGACGGTGTGTCCGGAAAAGCCGAGGCCACACCTTCATGAGAGGATTGGCGAGAGCCTCCTTCAACTTCTTCTCCGGCAGCTGCACCATGGCGATGAAAGACGTCGCCCCCGACTCCTTGGCCATCATCTTGGCGCACCGCAAAAAGCCTTTCCAGAGACCGTCGGACGTCCACACCTTGATTGCATCAAAATCGGAACCGGGTGTGTGTGTGTGTGTGTGTGTGTGTGTGTGTGTGTGTGTGTGTGTGTGTAAAGCATGAGCAGCAGTAAAACAGCACTAGAAAACACAAGTTGGTTTCCAATACCGATACCGCAAATACCACAAGAGGTGAGGCAGACTGTCAACTGTCCACCGCTTTAGTTGAAGGTATGAACCCCTTGTCGAGGCAAAATCAACAATCGACACGCACGCAGAATTTGTTTACCAGATTACCAAGCCCGCCACGGCGATAAAGAAACAAATCGATACAAGTACAAGCCTCAGTAAGGGCTCACCAAGAGGTCCACCCCCCCCCCCCTCCCCTCCCTCGCGGGTATCGAATGCCAAGTTCACTCCAACAACATTCACCACAACAGGTCCGCGAACGGTGACTTTTTCTGACGATATTCACAACAGTTTCGGGGAAAACGTCGTCACAAACCAAGCGCACCTGCTGCTGAACCAAGCGCACCAGCACCACCGTAGCCACAAAGTTCTTCAGCTCGGGGAACGTCGCGACCGAGACCATGACGGTGCGCATCAGCAGCAGCGGGATCTGCTTGACGCCGCCGCCGTTTTGACCGGCGGTCGGGACTTGCGACATCACGTTCAGGGCCTCGCGCAGCACGGGGTAGTTGTACACCGCCTGTGTGGTAGTGGTGGTGGTGGTGGAGGGGGGGGGAGGAGGGGGGATGACGTGGGGAGGGAGGGAAAGCGGGTCGTGCGCTATGATCGGCCAACGAGCTGCTTGCTATTGACAACCAGCTGCATGTATTTCTTTGTGGCAACAGTAAAAAGAGTGCGTGACTTGCGCACGTAACATCTCCACGAATAAGTGACTGTACTGTTTGATATCCGATCTATCTAGACTTTGGGGAGTAGAGAAAGCACGAAAGTAGGAGTCACGGCTAAGGAATTATACTTGTTAGAGAATGCTTTTACCGAAACCCCTTCACGTCAGTCATGCACTCTCTCGCCGTGGCAACAATCCAGCGTCGCCTTTTGCCGATACCTAAGCTCCTCACACTCAAAAGGTTGTAGCAAGTACGGTCGACGAAACGCTCGCCACTGCGTGCTCCACTTCCACCTCAACACCAGTCCGCACGGACGAATCCACTTCCTTCTTGCGTTCGTACCTTCTCTCCCTCCCCGCTTGTCTGTAGGGGTCTCAAGGAGCCAGTCAAGCGTAAGCTTAGCGTTGTGTATGAAAAACCTTCGAAAATTACTGCCCCATTTGGAAAGGCAAGAAGAACTGCGGTGCACATAACCCGCGTAAAACAGACCCATCAATCAATCAAACCTATTTCACATCACCTTGTTCTCGAGACACAGCGAAAGCGCGCGCGTGAGGTTCTTGATGGGCACCCTTGCATCGGACTGGTTCAGCACCACTACCAGCTCCGCCGGCTTGTACGTCGCTCCCTTAGCCGGCTGTGTCAGCCGTCTGAACGCTGCTCTGATCACACCGTCGCTAGCCTGCAGCAGCACGCCAGACAATCGACAGGGGAAACGCACCAAGTAAAAAAACAAAATCGCTTACATGGAAGAAAAAGAAAGTGAGACGAGGCGAGTCCTCGGAGCGTCACCCCCCGTACTGATCAGCCCCGCTGTAGCCATGCCTTCCTGATTCTTCTGCATGCCTTGAAAGCAACGTGCATGTTTGCTAACGATGAGACCGGAAACACCCGTGTTTCTGAAGGCGAGGCGAGGGGAGGCAAGGCTGACAGTTATGCATAAACTACAAGCAGCGGTGGGGAAAGGGGGATCAGGCCATCCATCACGAGCCATTGTTTCGAATCAAGAGAGACAGACTTAACTGTCGTAAAACGAGTTGATGGGAAGGCAGCGAACGGTAAACGCAGAACTACGGGTAAAAGCGCCGAAAGGTCCCGGCCCCTCCCCTTGACAGCGGCAACAAACCAACCAGCCGACACAGTTGATCACTAGAAACGAAACGCTAGGCCAACTCTCGCGTAAAACTCTGTGGACACAAAACAACCAACATCGTGCACTCGGTACCAACAGCGGCGTGCTGTAAAGCAGGTAGAAGGTCCAAGACGACGAGGAGACAGACAGCGAACTGCCCGATTTTCGACGGCAAGCTGTTGGGTCTCTGCTACGCTCTGGGCTAAACCCCCAACCATCGCACACCCTTTCAGATTCTCTCCCTGGGACAGCACACGAAAAAAACAAAAACGATACCACTGCAAACGAAGGAGGTCGATATGCATAGCTCACCTGCAACAAGGCTGGCAGTTCTGCCATGACACCCTCTCGTCCCAAGCCACCGAGTATCGGTACGATGTACTCCACGCCGGTTGCGGCACTAGGCTCGTCCACCTAAACAACCCCCCCCCCCAAAAGGCGAACAATAAAACAATTACCATTATTGTTTTTTCCGATTTTTTCTCTTTCTTGGATGGAGGAGCAGGAGATTTCTGTATTTTTTGGGGGTGGGTGGGTGCTTGCTACAAAGAAAAACGGCGTGTATAGAGTTCACAGGCGGACAGATATCTTGCGACACTGCTATAGCTTAGAGGCGGTCGATGCTGCGCATGGTGCATAGCTGTAGTGCGCCCAGGCACCTTATCTTGGCAGGCAGCTGACTCGACTCGCATGATATCCGCTTTGTGCATGCAACGAACGAACACACCGCGCAGGAGACGCTGGAAATCTAAACAGTCCGCCAGGACAGGGCTAAATTTTCTGATTGTCTGACTCTTCCGAACTGCAGCCAGGTGTCATTAGGGTATCGATCGTCACCTGGGGTTCCAAGAGGCAAGCTATGCACGCGCTGCCCAAACTCTATCGACTGACGTCTACTCTCCGTGTGTAATAAAGACCGCCGGTGCTCTCTTATCAGTACAAACGCAGCCTTGCTCCGCACGCCTCCAACGACGCCCACCTTGCCAACCTCCTCCTCCTCCTCCTTCACCACCGCTTCCGCTTCCGCTTCCGCGAGAAGTCGGGTCTCTCGCAGCCGCCGCACCGCAGCCACCATCTCCGGAGAAGGCTTGTTCGTGTCCCTGGGCACGAGCAGGTCCAGCATCAGCAGGGCCAACGGCTTGGCCCCGACCGGCGACGCCGCCACGAGCCCCACCACCCCCGCCTCCCCGAACCCCTTAGCCGCGGCCCTCGCCAGCAACGGCAGCTCCGCCTTGAGCCCGTCCTTGGCCGCGGGGATGGCGGTTACGTAGGCCTCGAGGAGCCCGGAGAGCATCGGCCGAGACTTGACGCAGAGGGCGAAGTACAGGGAGAGTCGCACCCTCGCCGCGGCCGCCGTGTCTGGCGGCGCCAGCCACGGCCCCGCTGGCGGGACGCCGCCGGGGGTTGCGTCGGGCGGGGGGGCAGACACGGGCGCGGGCGCGGGTGGTGTAGCGGGAGCCTTGTCCTTTGGCTCTTCCTTCTCTTCCTCTTCTTCCTCCTCCTCCTCTTCGCCCTCGAAGTCTAGCAAGTCTTCCTGTGACGGGAGGGGTACAACACAAATGCCGGTGGGCAGCAGCGCGGAGTCATACATGTACGCATATGGAGGCGGCAAGGGATCGGGTTTGCCGCACCGGCGTTTAAATATGATGCAGGTGCTTCACTGCTTCCAACGTGCTTCGCAAAAAAACACGCGGCTCTGGTCAAGAAGCACACAGCACAATGACTACCCTTGTGAAGTTCCCGGTTGCAGAGCAGGCCCTACACAGAAACCATCCTTGACTGCTGCAAGCGCCAGTTGCTGCGGCCACAACACTGGGCCACATCCTGCCTAAAACAGGGCGCTTTTCACAAACGGCTACCCAGCTCAAGAGATGTTTAAAGCCCACCCGATCGGAGCAACTCGCCTCGTTTGCTTCTTCAGTCTTCTCGGGGACCGGTTCCGGTGGCTTGACTTCTTCTTTCACCTTCTTCTCCACCTTGTTCACCTCTGGAGGACGCACGCTGGCGAGAGCCTGCAATCACCACCAAAAAACACGACAACGCACCCCGGGCTCTTTAACGGCTAGTACTACTATTATAGGACAGCAGCGGGCCGTCGGTTCGTGAGAGGCGAAAGGTGCTTTAGCGGCGGCCGCTGCCAGCCTGCTCAGCGGCACATCGCTTGCAGAGGCAAGGGCGCAGAGGCCTGCCCGTTCTTGTATTACCAGACTCTTTCAGCCGCCAAAAGGACACGCAGAAGTTTCATCATGGTCTGCGTACCACTCGTTTGGTGCTGGTGTGGACTTCGAGGTTCCCTGCAGGGCGGTCGGTGTCTACATCGGCACGCGCATGTCGGGTACAGCTACGACACATGCCTCGCTGGTTCGTTGATCGGTGCCGCCTAGTAAGTGTCGTTTTGCGGACGCCGGGGCCGCCCGGAGCACAAAAAACGCAGCAGCCCACCCACCTGCTTGGCGAAGGTCTCGATGGTGGTCTGAAAAGCCGGGTCTTTCCACAGCAGGTTGGAAGTTAACCGCACGGCCTTCGTCCTGACGTCGTTGTCCGAGTGGTGCGTGAAGCGGAGGACGCTGGGGATGCACACCCCCCTCGTCGCCGGCTTGTGAAAGATCAGATCCTTCAGGGCCACCAGGCCTTCGTTGTCAGCCGAATCGGCCGGGAGCAGGCACGCAACCAGGAGGCGGAAGAGCGGGGGGGACGAGAACACGCTTTGTGTATGAGAGAGAGGCGGGTGCTTGCTCGGGTGTTCAGCGCCGGGTCTGTCTGGCTTGCGTCGTGCGAATCGTGCGCACACAAAACGGGCTTAAAAGATACGCATATGCCTACGTCCTGACGAAAAACATTGCCTAGGCCGCAAACGACGCGAACAATCAAAACCAAACATACCCACACGCCCGAACACACACACACAACACACACCCGACTTGCTACACAACCCCCCCACCCCCCATGTTGTCTCCGTGCTGCGTGCCCCCCTCCCTCACCGGTCTGCACGTCGTGGGGGTGTGCGGCTATGTCGCAGAGAGTGCACACCAGCTCCAGCGCCGCCGGCGGAACTCGGGGGCACTCGAGCAGGGTCTGGGTGAAGAGCTTCTGCCGCCAGGTCGCCTCCAGCGACCCCGACAATGCGGTCAGCAGCCGCAGGAGCGCCCCGTCGTACAAGTCGAACCCCCTCGGCGGCTTCTTTGCGGCGGCCCGCCTGCTGATCGCCTTCCCCTTCTCCTGCTTCGCCGCCTGGGCTGCCGCGGCGGCGGCCGCGGCGGCGGCCACGTCGGCGACGTACATGTCCGTCAGCAGCGCCAAGGCCGCCTTGAAGCGTTTCCGGTAGTCCTTGGTCATGAATTCGACCACCTCCGCGACTACCATCTTTTGATTGACCATGGGGCGGGGGGAGAGAGGAGGCAGTCGATGAAGGCAGTTAGAACAACAAAAATATTTCCTGCAATCGCAAGGACTGCCTGGTACGGAGGCGTTTTTTCGCACTCTTGGCCGCGCGCCTTGCTAAGTCCAGGACTTGACGATGAAAAGCATGGACCACCCTCTGGTGTGGGGGTTGGTTATCTCTCTCTCTCTCTCTCTCTCGCTCTCTCTCTCTCTCTCTCTCTCTCGCTCTCTCTCTCTCATGTGCAGCAGTCGAAAACGCTGTGCCCCTCGGCGGCACACCTCTCGTTTCGATATCAGAGAAGGCGCTCAAGAATGACTGCACGACGAAACTCGCCCAGAAGCCAACCAAGACACCTCGGATGACATTCGTAACGGAGACCAAGCACCACTAGCGCGCGTCCTCGTTTTAACTGACCGCGGTACTAACACAGAGAACGGTGGGGTGCGGGCTCCCACACACACTTTATTAGCAGCCAGAACCGGGAGCTTTGTTCCTGACGCGTCCAGCACTCACTGCTGTGTGTGCAACACACGAGGCATATGTCTGAGAACTGCAATGTCTCCGTCGTTTTCGTTCAATTGGTGACCCTGGGGCTTCGCATCAGTACAAATACCCCACCTCCGATTCGGAGGTCTTCGCCCCTTTCGCTAGCGCGGTCGCCTCCGACTCCGCCAGCATCCTCCCCAGCCGTGCGACCACCCCCTGGTGTAGACCCCGCTTCCCTTCCATCGCGACCCCTTCCCACACACCCAATACCCTACGAAACGCCTTCTTCGACGTCTCCAACCCCTCCCGCCCGGGGTCGGAAGGAGCCGCTGCCGCCGCGGGCGCTGCCGCCGCGGGCGCTGTCGCCGCGGGCGCTGTCGCCGCCGGGGGTGTCGCCGCCGGGGGCGCCGCCGCCCGGGGCGCCGCCCTCGCCTCCTCACGCTTGCCCCCCGCTCCCCCAAGAACTTTCTGTGGCTGCTTGGCACCACCACCCTTGTCCACCGTGTCCACTTCCATCGTAGACCTAACCGGTTCCGGCGCCGATACTGCCCTGGCGCTGCCATCCCCGGATCTCCTCTTCCCCCCGCCCTCATCACCCGATGTCGACCCCCGCGCCCTTTTGCTCCCCACGGCCTCGGCGCCACTGCTGCCGCCGCTGTCCTCTGGAGGGGGGCGGTTCTTAGCCGTGGCTAGTTCTGGGCCGAGGGCGTTCAAGACGTGGCCTAGGAGGGTGTCGAGGTCACCGAGAGGGAAGCCCTTCGTGCGGTTCTGCTTGTAGCCCGGAGGCGGTGGGTGGGGCATCTTGCCCTTGGAGGCCGAAGACGTGGCGAGCTCCGCCACATCGCGTCGGTTCCTCGCCGTGAGGGCTACCACACGGACTTGAGGAGGAGGAGGACGAGGAGGAGGAGAAGGCGAAGCTGCTTCACAGCGTTTGCAGCGGGGGGAGGGAGGCGAGGGAGGGGGGAGTATATGTCTGCGAAAGTGCTAATATTGTGTGTGCGGTGCCTTAGATTACCACCTGATGATGGCCGAGAAGTAACAAGAGTCGAGACAATCAATGGCTGGGTGAAGAGAAACGAAACCGGACAGACTGAACCGATTTTGTCCAGCTGGGGTGCATGGTACGGCGACACGCCGTGAAAAACACCGATGCACGGCACGGCGGAACTCTGGAGGTTTCTGGAGGTTTTAGCATTAGCAACAGAGAGCACACAAGACTTGTCTCTGCCCGCTACAACATCGTCGTCATATACCCGAGAGCTATCACGGCTACACGCCCACCACAACCCACGGCCGGTACAGTAACGAACCAGCACCAAGCGTTCCGAACAACACTGGGAATGATGTTGGTGTACTACCATACAAGCCAAAGACGAAAACGCCCCTCCCCACTGACGGCGACTACAAGGTGCTCTTATCACCTGCTCGGGCTGCCTTTGGCCGTTCCCTCGGACGGGCGGGGAGCTTTATTCGTCCCCGGAGCGTCGAGTTGCCGTCCACCGCAGCCTTCGCCTCCCCGTCCGACCCCGACAACGCCGCGGCCGTCGCCAAACGCTGCACGCTCCTGCTCGCTCCGGGGGCGACTTTGAGCAGCCGGAGACAGGCACTCCTGAGTGAGCTCGCGGCGTCATGCAGCCCCTTGGGCGCGGGGCCCACCCCTCCCCCCCC